TCCAGATTTTAGGCGAAATCAAATTCCAAAAAATTAAAATTGATCCATTTCTTAAAAAAAATTCACACAATGTTTATACTTTGCTTTTCATTATGAACTTTTGTTGTCTTATTCAGTTGTATTTCCAAGAGGGATTTCATGTAAGCTCATACCAAATCCGTGTTTATAATAAAAGCTTGAACTTTTAGAAAATTGGTTCTCATATAGGGATGTACAAACAATGCATATTTCTCTCAATGTTCATCCCTTCTCTCTCTATGACACTCTCCCTCATATAATTATCAGTCATGAATATGACAAAATTATTTATTTTATACAAATATTCATTTCATATGACTACACATCGGGCAATCAGTTGATCTTTTCTGAGCATAATTTTGAATAAATTAAAGCATTATTGTTATTTTTGTAAAAATTATATCAAAACATCCTCCGTCTGTTAACTTTTACTTCGATAACCTTCATTATATCCGGACGGGTGAAAATGAAGGATTTTTTTCCTCCAGAAAATGCTTACTTGGTTAGCAAAAGGCGCATCGAGTGCGAGTATTTTCAGCTTATTGCTTGGCTTGAAATCGAACTGTGTCTCATGCCACACTGCAGAATTTTTCACGAATCTTGCTTCGAGCCGAACCACGTTGATTTGAGCCCGAATCGTTTTGAGCTTTTACCATTAAATCTATAAATATGAAAGAAAACATTGTTAATTGCACACCAGGGAATAGGTTAAATTGGCTTTAAAAATGATAGCTTCATTCATCTCACACTTGGTATGGGACTGTCTGATTGATTTTTGGGAGTACTTGATATCGAACCGTCTTTACATTTGATTTCATGTGAAACTGGAACAAATCATGTTTCTTACTTCGATTTATTTTTGAAAATATTTTATAATGATACAATATTCAGACTCTTATCTGTAGAGAAAGTAGGATGACTCCTACAAGGTGTTTGCATGATCCTGTAATAATTAGAATGATCTTGTGTCAACATAATCTTCATGCGTTCTTCATATCAAAATGAATTTATATAACGTTTTTTGTCATTTAAATTGCAGATGAAGCATGCGCTGACAAAATGAATCAATATATGTTTGAATGTGTTTGACATTGTTCTCCGCTGAATGAAATGAATTCGGACTTCCACTATAAATATTTTTGAATCTTCTCAAACCCTCCAGAAAATTTGCAGAAGCGATTTGAGAAAATAAATAGTGATGAAAAGAGAATTTTGAATATTGAAAATTTCACCATTCATCTTTTTCCAAAAAGTGTTTTGGTAGGTATTCAAGGGACTCGAAATCCACTACTTCAATCTCTCAGAAATATTTGGTTCCTGTAACGGTGATATTACAGACATAATATACTATAAGGTTAGCCATTCACTCCCTATCTTAATATTAATTCATCATGAATAGGGGTAAAACCAGAAAATCACAGCATCCAGATCTTGTGTGGACGTCCACATAAATAACTATGAGATTACCAGTCAATCGCTCAATTCGCTCATTCTAATGGGTTGAATGATATCCCATTGTGCAATTTCATATCTTGGTCACATTTGAAAAATGAAAACTTTGAATATTGAATAACCAACCACGGCTTCTTGATATGGACTCAAATAATAAATGGGAAAAACTGGAAACTATCATTTCTTTCTTTTTTTTCAAGTACCTATTCAAAGTACCTATTCAAAAATATATTTTTTCTTTGCTGCATGACAGACTGTTCTGGTCATCAGTTTGTGTTCTTTGAGGGCTTTTTTTAATATGATTGACTCATCTTGCACTTTCTGTACTATCCCTCGGTTCGAATGAAATTTTCAATTAGTATCCCTTGCTTCAATTGATAAATAATAAAATATATTTGTAATGGGAGTTATCTCACATAGATCATTAGTTTTCTTCGTTCAGTTCCTTACTATTTGCTCTATATTTTTGTATCGATGTGATGTGTTCACACGACCTCCTGTAGTAAGATATATAGACGTTCACATTGTAGTGGGAAATCAGACTAAAATTCACACCATTATCAACCGCTTCCCATATATTTGATCTGAGAGAACACACATGAGATGTACAGAAGTTTTTGTTCATGCAGACTTCAGATTGATCAAATTCCATTCAGAAATGACTCGATTTAGAAGGATAATTCTTATTTTACTCTGATTCATTCTTGGAATTTTCTTTGTCAAATATACAAATCTTTCAGGATCGGATGATGTATGGACATACATAAAGGAACATAAAGATAAAATATTTTCTTACTGGTTTTTGGGGTATATAACCTACAACGTAAAAAATTAACACAGCTGTTAAAAAAAGTCTGTTTTTCCGTTAACCATCTATCGCCTCCCTACGAACGACAACCCTCGGAAGTTGAAACTTGTGCAAGCTATACGGATTAACGAGGTCTTACCTTTTAACGTGCGATTCCTAGCACGGGTTGACACAGTGAATATCGATCGACCGGGTGTAGGTCTCGGATCACCATTCCACATAGCGGTCGATCGACTGAGTAGAACGATCCACTCTCGCCAACATAACCAGTTGAGAATTTGCTAAAGAGAAATAGAGGGCGAACTGAATAATTCACACCAAAAAGTGACTGCTTAATATAAACAACTGAAGTTTCCAATTATTAGTCAGTAACTTCTATTTACAAATTTTGCCTACAAATTGAATAGTCTATAGAAGAAAAAAAAGTTCATTTACTTTATATAATGAGAAGGCAATACTCTTTTTAGCTGCCTGAGGTTTCGTCAACATTTATTATCTTTATCAAAATCTGAAATGTAAAAAACTGGACATAAATATATAGAATATAGAAAGACATAAAACGCTTACATGCATGTGCCATTTCATGATATTTTCTAAGTTTTTAATTTTAAAGTAAGTCAAGATGGAAATATCGCATCTGTCTTATAAATAGGCAGAGTGAAGTTATTTTGTTAAATTTTGTTTATTAATGACATGGTGATCTATCTTGCTTTAAATATCACGGAATATGTTGAAAGATATGAATACATTTTGCTAAGATCAGCATTATCTGTCTTTTTTATATTCCTGCTCAAAGCAAATGAAAATGCATTATGTGCTATTTTGGACCTGTGTTCATTTTTTTATTGTCAGAAAATTGGTTACTTTTCAAAAACTCTCTAGGAAAAACCTGATTTTCGAAAATAAATTTCATATTAAATCTAACACAGATAACAAGTGATAAGTGAAATGATACTGTTTTTCATTCAATTTTCAAGCATAAACCAACTGAAAGCCAAGTTTTGATTATGTCCTTTGTATATCACTGTATAGTTGTGAGTTAAGTTACACTTGGCCCACTTGATAAGAAATAGACGGGACCACGAATCCTAATTCCGAAAAGTTTCCCTTAGTTCCGACTTTTTGGGTAAAAACAATTTTTTAGTCCGTTCTCCAACGATTTATGGACTCGTTTTCCATCGCTAGTTTGTTTCAGACGAACACACATGAAAATTAATTATGTGGAAATTCATTCACACTCCCATATGTTATGTGGACGCTCACACTAACTTTTTTTTGATATCCGTTCAAAATTTAGAGTACATATAGAAACAAGATGTATGTGCGTGAATGTGTGTTTGCCTGTTTGTGTGTGAATAAAATGATGCTTTGAAGGAGTTTACATTATTTCACTCTTCAGAAATTTTTCATTTTTATTGAAAAAAATGTTTTCAAACCTTTTCCAGCTATTACCACACTTTTACCTACATCATCTAGTATCAGCGGAAAACAATGAAGATCAATGTTAATTACAATACAAAAATCGACATCATTTATATTGTCCAAAAGAATCTGGATAGCTATTTTTGAGTGCAATAGATCTTTTCATCAAATCTGAAGTCCACGGTTGATTCTCACAATATCCTTAGTGTTTTTAAATTTTGTAATAAAGATCGCCCAAACTACCGCTGTACAAGATGCTGAAGTATTTATCACATGAGTTACATAAATAGAAAATAACCGATGGTTCAGCTAGGAGGACTGAAAATTGTCTGCCATTATAATATCACAATGGTAACAAAGAAAAAAAATGCGTATACAGGATGCATGTTTTATATTTAACTCAGAGTATTATAAAAAAATATGCCTTTTGCTTGAAAAGTTGCTGTGGAACGATAAGGCATCATTTTCAAACAAGTTCTACTGAGTTCGTGTTATTTTATTGGGTTTTTAAAGAATATAATATTTTGGGGTTAAAATGGTAATTTTTTTCAACATGAACATTTATAAAAAACTCCAATCTGTTTATTGATTTTTCTAAAAAAAAATTATACAATGTATTGAGTTTAATCACACATTAAAAGTGGTTGAATTGATGATGCAGTACTTGTTTCAAACGTCAAATAATTGTTTTATTAACTTTTATATTTTTTCTTCCACCAAGCTGAATCATCCAGTAGTTCTGATTTATCGGACGACAACTTCACAGACGAAGAAGATTGTACAATGGAGGAACTACAAAGGAAGCAACAACACCCTGACCGATTACATCCAGAAATGTGGTAAGTATATCTATCCTATATATTCGTTTTCTCGCCTTCAACCTCGTGTTCTAGTTACTATTGAAAGAGCTCATTGAACATTTTCTTATTGTTAAACTTTCAATTGTTTCACTACAAATCATCAATTTTCCTTTTCAATATCTTTTTGTAGAATAAGGTATTTTAACAATACATCAATCAGTAATGAATGCAATAAAAAATTTCCTTGAATGTGTTTGTGAAAATGAAACTATTTAGGTTTTTTCTTTATTGAGCTTCAAATTAGTGAGAAAAAAATATTGGTATAGTGTTGTGAGTTGAGAAAACATCATCCTCTACATGACTCTTAGGACTGAAAACCACCAAGCAGTCATCAGTATATTGATATATATGTTTAGAAGTGATGTCAGTACAATAATGGTCCCAATACGGACATCTGTGGAACACCTGTGATAGATAGATAGATACTTTATTAATCATGTTATGTACACAAAATACATTTATGACAAGTCACAGTTGAAAAATGGCGAAATAGTATTTCAAAAGTAGTAAAAAGGTTTTTTTTGTAAAAATATGTGTAAATAAATTAATAACGTAAAAAGAATATATCCTTTTTCTAAATCTATTTTGTGTCACTTAATGGAATTGTTGCTTTCTAGGAAGGATGACAATCTTGCATATACAACTTTTTCAAAAATGTTGCTATTTGCAGATAATAGGCTAATTGGTATATAATTGTTTTATTTGTTCTTATCACCATTTTCATATATAGCTGTCAAGATAAGCCAGGTTTTCAGGGTAAATTCCAGCCCATGTAAACAGATCAATGACGAACTATAACTGTTTGCAGAGTTGAAAGCAAAATACTTTGGAATTTTCACTGGTATTCCATTGGTATTCCATTGTCACCAACAAAATTTTTGTTTTTATGCCCTTTATCAGGAAGTAGAAACATAAGAATAAAATCTCAACAAGTGTTGTGGATACATTTTGAATAACGAAATTTGATACGATCGACAAGTAAACTTGTTGGTGAGAGGCTGCACAGCAGTGATTTTCCAAAGAGCGAGATAGTTGTGTAGAAACGATGAAAAGATAGTCTTGAACTCGGTCAAGAGCTATATATTACTTACTGACGATTTTCTCGATAGGAAAGTATACCAGGTGTTTTGTTGCTACTGGTACGCGCATATAAGAAATACGTAGTGATGAATAATAATAAATATGGTGATCACTCTCACACAAAAAACTGATGATAATAATTATGAATTAAGGAAAACAAAATCACTTGAATATGTCAATTTAATATGAATATAATAGATTAAAATCTAAAGATTAACGCGGAGTGTTAACAACAAGTTCCCAAAAAAATCATGTAAAGTTTTAGGAATGACACTTCAAATAAAACCTGTTTTCCATTTCATCAAATGAAAATGGTTCGTTATTCGAAAACCAATAGTTATTCCTCTGCATCAACTTTTCAGACGTTTTTTACCAATGTTGTTCATCTCATTCCTGAAATTAGTAGTTATTGTGTTGATGTTGACATTAAAATACTCTTAGAAAATTGATTCATCTCTGAACATTTTTCAATTGATTAGTTTGATTCCATTCTTTCATCATGATCATCGTTTGAAATTTTATTTTATTCTTATGATGATGATTCATTCAAAATCCACATCTGAACAATTCAATATCATGAGTTGTGCAGATGCTGTCTAGTCAATTATTTTCTTTACTGGAATTGATAGTTTTTAAAATTGAAAAAAGGTTTGAACTTCCATTGCCTAAACACTTTGTGAAAGCTTGGAACGTTAAAAGTTCTTCACTATGTAATAATTTGAAAATGAAATATTTTTCACGGTTCTGAGTTTCAAAATTGCACTTATGTAAATTTGAAAACTATGTTCTTATAAAAAATCAATTAGTTAGTAGAAAAGTGAACAAAGCGTCTTAGAAGGCTGTCCAATAAATTCAAAATCCAGTTCTGGTCTAGAAGTTAGTTCGTATACTTTCGTTTCACTATATGCTTTTGTATTAGTATTTCAAAATGCAAGATCGCCAATTTAAACTTTGAAAAAGAAAATGCATGAAACTTATTATTTTCATGAAGAATATAAAAATTATGTCACAAAAGCTCTCTGCCTTACTTCTGTAGCAGAGAGGTAAAAGATTGTATGTCCATAAATGAAAATATTGAATAATCGAGAAAACAACTGCAAATGACAATTCACTTTAACTTTTTAATACTTTTTTCACAATGTGTGATGGTGTTCTTACAGTATATAAATTAAATTGATGGGCCTTTTTAAAAACTTTTATTATTAGTTCAATAATATTTACCTGTAATCTACTTTTGGACTTGCGACTTTTCACCTCTGTTTGAAAACACAGGTAAATATAAAAACTGACCTCTTATAATGCAAAACCAGTTTTATTTTATATCAGTAACATTATTAATACGTGAAACATTTTACAAGAATATATTATTTTTAAAAAATGAAAAATTAGGAATTGTATTAAAGAAAANTGTTGCTGGAGGATATACTTCATAAAAATATTATAAGGCAATAGTTGTAATTTCCTACATTCTTTCAGGTTTAATGAACCTGGTGAGATGAATGACGGTCCGTTGTGTAGATGCTCGTGGAAATGCAAAAAATCTGGTATCCGTCATGGAATATACCCGGGAGAAAAACATCTACAACAGTGTAACAAGCTGACAAATAATGCAGATAGATTATTTCATTACCGAATAACTATATCACCGCCAACCAACTTCTTAATCAAAACTCCAACAATTATACAACATGATGAGCATGAGTTCATTTTTGAAGGTTTTTCCATGTTTTCACACTTTCCTTTGGAGAAATTACCTAATTGCAAAGTTATTCGGTTCAACATTGAATATACTATTCTCTATATTGAAGAAAAGTTACCTGAAAATTTCACCGTTTGGGAGTTGAATTTATTTAGTAAGTATACAGTTAGTATGCCCAAAAACTAATTTGTAGAATATTTAAACCAGTCTTATTTGCAAAAGGAATCTAATAGTGAAAATAAACATTATGTTATGAAGTTCCACTGACTGATTCTTAGACCACATATAATTAAAACAATGTCAATATGGTTGGTTCAAAATATGTTATATCAAACTTATTAAGCTACCACTTTGTAATAAGGCATTAGGACAAAGGTCCTTTCTGTTTCTGTCAAAAAAATCAATATTCTACCCGATATGTATAAATTATATCTACAGAACTGAATTCTATTCAACTGATAAATAAGACATTTCAACGTTACATACTCTCATCAGAAAGGGACTTCATTTCAATGTTGTTAGTTTCTTGTTATTTGATAAAAGTTATTTAATGTTGTATAATTGTTATTATATGTAAAAATTTGTTGAACATTTCTCTTCTTCTCTTTCGTTTCATGGAATTTCTTGTAAAATGAATGTATATTATGAATAATTTAAAAAATGAACAGACATTATTATTATTATTATTACATTTCAAGAAATGAACTATAAATAATTATCTTGCTTATTACTATGCTTTAATAGTTGATTTCAATGTACATGTTTCAACTTTACTGTAATCTATATGATTCAAAAGAAAAATCTGTTTTATCTGTGATTCCAGAATAATATTCTCACACTGCACTCGTATTTTTTGATGTTTCAGATGACTTTGTTTTTCAAGAACTCTTAGAACTGGCAGATTTCGATTTGAAAGCAGCAGGTGATGAACATGGGTGTCCTCAGTTCCATTTTATGCCAAGATTTGTGAGGGAACTCCCTGAGAATGGTAAAGAAATTCTCTGTATGAAGGAGGTTCTTCAATATTTGATGGACAGCTCTAAGCCATTAATAGTTGAATCTGAACTAGAGAATATGATGGAAATGAGTCAGTACGAATGGCAAAGCTATGCAGACGAAGTGAAGGTAAAAGTTTTTTGAATGTATTCATTTGTACAACTTATTCATATCATCTTTGTCATCTTTGAAATCTTTCAGTAGATGTGATTCACTAATATTGTATAATATTCAAGCTCTCTGCCTTACTTCTGTAGCAGAG